GGCCTAAAAATATATGCAAATATATGTAAATAAATTACTATTTGCAGTGGTGGGTTTTCTCAGACAGGTAGGAGGAGGTGGGGGAATGGTGACAAACAGGTTCTTTTTTTTAATCTCCCCCATGAGCTGATTTGGGGAGGCAGGAGGGAAAACTCCCAGAAACAGGTAGCGTTGTGCATACTGGAAGAAAAAGATGAGTAGATGCATCCAAGGTAACTGGCCAGCAATGAGCCGCAGTCATTTTCTGGAGATGCTTGCTCATCTCTTTCCTTTCCTCCCCTCCTCCCTCCCGCATTGCATTTCATTTTAAGGATGTGCTTTCACTTCCTGTTGCTTCCTCTGCAGAGGAGGAAGTTTTAAAAAGAAGAAACGAGTTTGTTATTTTCCCTTCCCATTGGCCACTTGTTATGCTCCCCATACCATAAAGGAAGGATGAGAAACCTCAGGCATGCAGGTCAAACCTGGAGCCTGGCAGGTTCTTCAGATGGCCGCATCCCCTTTCTGTGCCCCCAGTCCTTCAATAGGTTCCTGGCTTCTCTGCCATTTCCCTCTCATTCTAAAAAGATTGAAATGCCTCCCCTGAGGCTCAGCTCTGGGCAGTAAGAGCTTTACACTGAAAGATGCAGCTCTTTGTAATATTTTTCCTTCTGCCTGTTCTGCCCTCAGCCCTGCCTGAACTGATTCCTAGAGTAAATTAAGCTCACAAGCTAGAAGAAGTTCTTTGCTTGAAATCAGTCATTGACCAGAAGGCAATGACAGCCTTCTCCTCCGTGACTTTGGCCGATCCCCTTCTAAAGTCATCTAAATTGGAGGCCATCAGCACAAACTGCAGAAGTGCATCTAATAGTTGGACTATGTGGTCTGTGAAGAAGCCCTTCCTTTGATCTGTCCCGAATCTGTCCATGAACCAATCAGCTTCATGGAATGACCCCTTTGGGTTCTAGTCCTATGGGAAAGAGAGAAAAATTTCTCCCTCTCCACATTCTCCAGGTAATTACGCACACCTCGAGTGTGTCTCTCCTTACGCACCTTTATCCTAAGCGAGTTGCTGCAGCCCTTTGATAATTTTGGTTCCTCTACGTCTACACCAGCCTGAACAAGCAGGCCCATGCCAAGATCAAGCAGGGTCATGCTGAGGACTGAAATGGTCCTTCCCAGAAACTGTCCCTCTTCAGTTATTCAGAAGTGAGCCAAACCAAGAGGAAGTCCGTGAACCTTCACAGAGCCCTGGTTGTGCAACCAGCAACCTTCTTCCACAGCACAAGGAAAGGCTGCAAGTCATATGCCTGCAAGAGGGATGGTGCTTGCGCAGCATTTTTGCGGGTGGGTGCCTGGTGGGTGCCTGCATGAATGCTTGACACGCTAACCAGGAAGCTGGAGTCACAGCTGTGAGGAAGCAGGCCAGAGTCTGGGGAGCTGAGCCCAGGGAATCTGACAGTGCCCACCCCAAAAGAGTCCTCTCACAACCCTAGCCATGCTAACGGCATAAGACCATCCCGAAGCATCTCACTGGTCTTATAAAAGCTCCTGGGACTTCCCTTGGAATTCCTCCTCAAGCAGGTCCATGCCAGATCAGACCAAGGGTCCAGGCAGAACAGTGTTCTGCTCACAGTGGCCAACCAACTGCCCACAGGATCCCTCAAGCGCAACCGGCCTTCCTGCCCAAAGTCCCCTGCGATTGGTGTACATCCAACTCACTGCATTGCTGTGTACCAGGTTGCCCATCATGGTTGTGTTTTTTACGGGGGAAAACAGAGGTGGAAGATGCAGGGCAGCTCTTTCCTGTGTGACAGACACTGATCTCCATCATCTCCAGTTCTGGCCTGAGGAAATGATCCCGAGCTTGGAATTTCTCTTACCAGGCAAAGTTTCAGGGGTCAAAGATGGTGGTGGGGGAAGAGTGAGATGCTTCTTTGTGAGGAAGGGCCATCGCTCTGTGACAGAACTCAGACTTTGCTTAAGGATTCAATTTGGGTTGCTGCAAACGTTTTGGCTTGTATCTATCACCCCTGGGCATTTTGGCTGAGAATTGCAGCATCTGCAGGGACCTGGCTAGAAGAAACAGGTAATAAGCAGCAAGAAGAGTGTGCTGTTGCTTTCTTGGTAGACTATACTGGGGTAGATGGATGAACGTGCCTGACGTGATTGAAAGAAAGCTGCTTCTTGTGTAAACTGTGCTTTCAGCCCTGGGTGCAATACTCAACTTCTCCAGGACCCTCTACCCTGCGCTTACACGCACCTTGAAGTGTCTGAAGCAGGCCTGCCATTTGCTTTATTGTGCTATTATGGTGTAGATTGATTTTGGTTTCCCCTGTAACGTTAATTATAGGACAGGTGCCAACATGGTCTTCTTTTTGGTGCCAGTTGAAGACTTTCCTAGGGATTGGTTGGGAGGGGTTGGCATCAGTTGTTTATATTGGAGCTTTGTATTTGATTGTTAAGTGTTGATACCTGTTCCAAACACTTTCAAATGTTAGCATATTCAGGTTTTTATATTGTTTTATTTTGTGGAATTTTAGGGTCTTAATTTTCTGTGAAATGCCCAAAAAGCCTTTGGCTATTGGATAGTCTAGAAATGTAGCAAAGGAATAAATGAATGAATTCATGATTGTAGACTCTTGGACTTGTGTACGGGAGTCACTCTGAGGCTGTTTTTTGTGGCTGGAGAAAATGCACGAATTTAAAGCACCATCATCCACGAAATCTACCCATGCCACACCCCAAAAGCATCACCACTGCAGAACTACCATGCATTCAATAGCGACTTGTGCAGTTGGTGAGTTATCTGACATTGCAATACAGCAGGCTGTTCCTCCAAGAACTTGTCTGCCAAATGGCTTTGCGTACAAATTGTAAGAACTCCCAGCTGCTCTAGCCAGCGATTGGTGACCTTCAAGCCACACAAGACCCCCTCTCTGAGCAGAAGCAGACTTCCTGTGGTGGGTAACACCCCAAGAAGATGCTCAGACCATTAAAGTTTGTGGCTCCAGTCCGCAAAGCTAACTGCAGGAACCACTGCAGTATACGAAACAGACGGTGGTCTGCCTGTGGCTGGAACAAAGTCTGCTGTGGCTGGGCACTGTCCTTGGTCCTGCAGGATCTGCTAACATTCCTGCCTTTTGCTCCATTATGAATTTGCGGGAACTACTTTTCCAGGTGGACCTGTGAGGCAGGAGGATAAATTCCATCCAGCTCGAATGGCCATCTTGTCAGCATCCTTGCCCACAGAACAGGATGCAAGAGCTGTAACACTTTGTATAAGTTTTTTATACACGCTTATTTTTAGTGCGCACACAGCAATTTTTAAAAGGGGATTTTTCTTCTTTTTGCAAAGGTTGCAATAACGCTTTAGTCCTTCGGAAGGACTTACAAATGTGTGTTAGATCAGGGCTAAACCTAGCACCCATAATGCTTCAGTCCTGCACCTAGGACTCCCCAGAGGGCCCTATGCCCTAGCCAACTGCCCATCACATGGGAGCTTTCTCAGTTTGGTACAACCAACTCCCCACTCACCCCACAAGTCTGCAAAGCTTCACCTGCGGCCTTGGTACTGGCAGTAAGAGCAGTAAGCTAAAATAAGCTGGTCTTCTGGGCCGGCCCCTTCATGTCCTGCTCGGCCTGCCCTGGGAGGGTGGTCCTGAGGACTCTGCCGAAATTAAATCTCTCTCCAACAAGCCTGGGGAGAAAAACCGGCATATTTACGAAGCACCATGGCATACAAAACAAATAATTTGGGTCAGGCAGGACTCGAGGCGAGGCGAGGCCATTATGCACACCAACCCAACCGAAGCATGAATTTGTCCCAGCTAATTTTATTATTTTTGCAGTCAGTTAGGTTTCCATTTAAGGCAGGAGTTTATGCCTAGACTAAGCAGCTTTCTGGTGCAAATGGGAGGTGGGGGTCCATGGCAAGTGATTGCCCTTCCAAAGCTGTCGTGGTCCAAATTCCACCCCGCTGCACCCACTGAAAATCCCCCCGCCCGGGGCCCTCTGCTGGCTTTCACGACGACTGCTGCACCCAGCACGCTTCGGCACCGGGCAGAGCGATCGCTACCCTGACTGTGCACACAGCAGGGCGCTTAAAGGGTAAGTGACACAAATAACAATTTATTTCAGGAAGGTGTTCACTGTACATGGGGGAAAACTTCTCAACTCAAAATAACTTATTTAAAACTTATGTTCCAGACACAAATAGATCGAAGACACCGGGGTTTGATGAGAGATTCTTTTGGTTATGAAATGACTTGTTTTCCATTCATTTCCTTTTGCAGGATGGGGGTTAATGATGCTGCCCCCCTGAGAGAAGGTGGCTGCTTAGGGCTCTGGGGCTTTGCCAATGTTCTCCCCATATGCATTTGGTAGAAGCCTGCTCCTCCGTTGTTAGCCAAGCATGGTACATTGCTGGACTTAGAGCAGAGGGAGCTGGGCTCCAGCCCCTGCTTAATTCACAGGTCTTTAGGACTACAAAACTCCAGGCCCTGGGACGGGGGCAAAGCTGGTCTTCTTGCGGCCCCAAGCCCGCCCTCTGGAATGGCTGCACCCTTCCTAGTCCCCACCACCTTCCTTCCAACCAGACAGTAGTGTCTTGGCTTCTGTGCAGTGGTTTTTCCCCATTTGGAAAAGCTGCAATGCTTCTCCCTAAGGATCTGTGACTGGCAGTAGTCACATTAAGCTTTTTTGTATTCTGGGCTCGCTTGCACTTTGCTTTTGGCTCCACCTGCCACTGGAAGGCACCTCCCAGAAGCGTCTCCAAAGCAGCATTCGGCCCTCACAGTGAAAGACGATCCTCATCCCGGCAGTAGCCAGTTGTCTTCCATGTGACTCTCCGCTGAGCTGCCTCACCGCCACACGCAGACCCAGCTCTGTGCAGTTTGTGGGCAGTGGTGAGTCAAGGCTATTTGTAACCAGGAAGAAGCAGAACCTCCTCGCATACAGGAAGGGAACCTGTGACTCACCAGATGTGGACGGGCCACCAATTCTCACCAGCCCCAGTCAGCATGGCCTTTGGCCATGGACAGTGAGGGCAGCAGGTCTCATATCCTTTGGCGTCTACAGCTTCTCTCCTCTACCACCTCAGCTCTGAAACCAGTAAGCTACTTAGACCTGGAAATCTTTACAAAGAACACCCAGTATTGCATAACTAGCAGCAGCTGACTGCTTAAAGGTGCTTCTCGGTGACCGGGTCCCAGCACACAGGTGAAATCTGCACAGACCTTCTCTCCCAGGTTCAGGAGAACCCGTTCTAAACTCAAGTCAGAAAGCTGTATCCCAATGGAGGTCCAACTTGCATTGCCAACCATGTTTCTCCTTGCACTTCTGAGCACAGAGCTGATGGCTGAGTGCAGCAACCCAGAGACAGAGGGATGCTGCACGTGTTCGGAAGCACCATGGACCCCCCACCAAGGCTTCCATTCACATGGCTATGTTTGAAGATCAAAGTGCATCATCCATACGGCCGCAGGCAACCCCACTACCATCCGGAGATATTAGAGCCATCTCTTCCAACCCACTGTGGATGTAATGACCAGACACACGCCGCCCTCTAGTGAAGTTTCTGAGCAATGGTGTTCCCGTAAAGTAAATATTTTGAGAGGGAAAATAACAAGCAGCATTTTTGAGAGCCTTCCAAGTTTGCAAAAAAATAAAAATAAACCCGGCCTGGGTTCATCGTGGGGCTAGGCAGGGACTGTGGGTGGCGGACTTGCTGTATGTGTTCTCTGTGTGGACAGCAGGGCTGCATGAGTTCCAATGGCTCGATGGAGACGGGCATTTCTGGAGCCCTCGTTCCCAGTCGAGAGGCAGCAGACTTCCTGACTGGTTCCTGGAAGTGGGGCTTGGCCCCACTAGTCCAGGTGGCAGCACCATGCAGCTGAAGGGTCTCACCAACATGGTGCCTTCCATACGGTTTGGATTGTAACTTCCTTAGTCCCAGCCAGTATGACCAATGGTCAGGGCTGCTGGGAGTTGCAGTCTAAAACATCTGGAGACACCCAGCTGGGGACAGATGCCTCAGATCCATGGTTCCCATCACAGCGTCACTGCCACAGGTTTGAAAATGCATGGAAGGCTGAGCTTTGCATTGGGCAGGGGGACTTTTCCTGGTACAGCCCCTCTCAGAATGACAGATCCACAATGTGTGGATGGAGTCCATCCACAGCACCAAAAGCCATGTCTGCCCAAAGAGAACAGAGGGAAAGGGGTTGAGGGACCACATCTCAGGGCTGGAGAATCTGCTTTGCCAGCAGAAGACCTGGCTCCTTTCCTGGCCACCTTAGGCTCCGGGGATGGGAATGACCCCTTCTTGAAATGCAGGAGAGATGCTGCTAGTCAGAGGATGTAACACTGGACTAGATGGAAAAGTAGGCTCACCTGTGGCCAACCTCACACTTGGGAAGCCTTAGGTCTAGTGCTCTCCAGAGGGCCCCTTCTACACCAGTGCTCTCCACAGCCCACCCAGTGGTGATGCCACCCAGAGCTGGCCGCCAGAACAAGTTTTGTTAACGGTAGTCCCATGAAGACCCTGCGAACTGCTCAGGTTGACCCATGGTGATGCCAGGCCTGAACTGAACTGGGATAAGGCAGCCTCCGCTGTTATCTTAAATGCACAGAACATGCCTAGCTTGGTCAGTGTGATTCCAGAATTCCATTTTTTTCATACCAGTCCACAAAAATGTGGCCATGCCAAACGGACAAAGCTCCGACTTTCTGTGATCTTTTTTATCCACAAAAACAAAACTTGTGTGTGCACGCAGGCGTGTGTGGTTGTGAGACAAGTCCGTTGTCTTGCCAACACTGGTCATTAGACTCCTTGAACCAGGTCGGCCCCTCTCTCTCACTCCTTCTTGGCTGTACACATCCTGAGCAGTCTGGCAAGGGAATCCTAGTCCGGAGAAGGGCTTCTCTTCTCTTAGGCCGACCCAACTGCACAAAGAAGGCCAAACGTGGCCGGTTTATACAGGCCCATTTTTCTGCCGTCCATTAGGCTGTACCAGGGATTGGTAAACGATGGAACGAAGAAACCTGGGATAAGAGTCCTTCTCCATGAGACCAAAGATCCGTTTCTGGGCCTGTTCAAAGCATGAGCGAGTGGGAAGCAAAATATTCCGGTTGGTGACATCTCTGGTCTGGGAATCCAGGTTCACCTGCAACATGGGAAGTGCAGCAGCAGTCATTAATACGGCATTAAGCAGAGGGCTACTGAGATCTGTCCTGGGCCTGGCACAATGCAACAAACCTTGTTTATGTAATAGCAGAAAAGAATCTGAGCTCTGGAGGCAAAAGCCTTGGGCAGGATTTAGAAGCACGGTGTGCACTTAAGGGGTAAGTACTGCAAGAACAGGGAGTCAGTAAATGGCACTTAACTCCAGATTAACCCTTCGGGTAACTAACATGTGCAGCAGGTGTAGACAGTCAGCTGGATGTAGGCTTGGGCAAGCCGGCTGGCTGAGCTCCAGTCAGTTTGCCGCTCCAGCATATGGTAGATTATCGAGAGAGCTAAAAGTGGTACACCATGAGCATTATTCTGCACGGTGTTTACACTGCTCCTCTGCAGTTTCTGCTAAACAGGTTTGGTAGATATTTGTGACTCTTAATGTGCCCCTTCCCCCCCGCCACAAACTTGTTTGACAAGAGGTCACGGAGGGCCAGTGTGGACAACCATGTCCCTGCCATATCACCTTCCACTTGCAGTCACCGTCACCCTCCTGCTGCAGCTTCAAACAGGGAGGGGAACTGCCCGAAACACAAGCATGTTTTCCCTGCAGTCCTCCGCCCGAGAGGCAGCAAGCTGTCCCAGGGATTTCAGGCTTAGCCAGACAAAAGTGCTCCGCTGATCCTGGCAGAGTAGGAGGAGGCCGAGAGGAATACAGCACCTCTTGCCAGTACGGCAGAGACTTTTTCCTTTAGGTCCATGAATACAGCAGAGCAGTGGGGCCAAGGGTTTCCTAAAGTAAAACCCTTTTTATTTACCCGACATTTTAATATTTAATTTTTTAACTACTTTTATTCTCATGCTTAGCCACATTCTATCCTATTTATTGCATTCTACCTTTTTATTGCTTTATGTGGATTGTACTTTTTCTGTTTGTTTAATTACTATTTGTTGGATTTTGTTATAAGCCGTCCTGAGATGCTGTCAAGGACGGGGTAGAAATGCGGTACATAAATAAATAAATAAAATGCTGTTTCCTTTCACTTGCCCATTAATTGCTGACTCCCCCCACCCCTTCTCCTGGATTTCAGTTTAACTGGGAGAAGGTCTAAAGTGGGTTCAAGCTTGAAGCAGGAGTACCTGTTCTGTGCCGTATCATTCAGTTCACAGGCATCTACTCTGCTCTCTGCCTTACTGAAGTACAAATGGATCCTGAGGAAAACACGCCTACAGAAATGTTATCTTGATGGATCGTATGCATGATTACATCAAGATTCATTCTGTTCAGCGTTTGGAATGACGTGTGGGCATCTGCGCCTGGAAATTGGTAAAAACTCCATGCAAGAAGGACTCCCATTAGCTGGATAAGTGCACTGAGCTGGCTTCATCTGAAGTGTTTAATGAAAACACAGCCCCCTGTGTGCACTGGTAACACAGAGGGGGTGACAAACACGAAGGAACGGAAAGCCACGGGAAACGGCACAGGCCCAGAAGGAAATTTGCTGATGCACATCAAATAAGGAAACCGAACAGCTGAGAATTCGTAATGTGTCAGTCCCATCTCAGAAACAAGACTGGTTAACTCATCCTTCATCCTGCAGTTACTTTTCTACTTCCAGCTCAAATTTTGTTGCATAATTTACCCCGAAGGACACCTACAATCTGGTCTTTTTTTAGGACATGGAAAGGTAATAAAAATACCCCAAAATTTCATTCACCTGCCTTTTAATGCTTTCCTTGTATAAACTAAATATGGCCTAGGAGAAAAGGAACCCCCCAAATCTGCATAAGAAGAGACCTCTGGGGTACTGCTTTATCTCAACATTTGGGGCACAAAATGAGGATGATTATGGGCAATCTTCATCTATCTTGAATGCCTAACTGAGGAGGAAACTGCCGCATCAAAACCCAAGCCAAGCCAAGCCAAGCCAAGCCAAGCCAACCAAACCTGACATCCCCTGGGGAAATGGCCCACTTATGCTGCCTGTAAGTTGATGGGCCAAAACATAGTAATTCCAATTATACCTTGGGCAGGAAAGATTCAGTTTAAAATTACCTACATGTGGGAAACATTCAACCAAACAGTGTGATGCAGTTGTCAGGGTGCTGGACTGGGACCCTGAAGGTATGGAATGGGCTTCCATGGGAGGTGGTTGAGGCCCCATGGACATGCACATGGTAGGCGTGTCATGAGCGGAGCCGGGGGTCAGACTAGATGGCCTGGGAGGTCCCTTCTGACTTGCTCTGTTTCTGTGTTTCTAATCTGGGTTCTAGTCTCCACCCATGAAGCCCATTGGGTGAGCCTGGGCTAGTTATGGACTCGCAGCCCAACCTACCTCACAGGGTTGTTGTTGTGAGGGGGGTTCTGAATGGTGGGACATGAATCTAGTGCAGCCTTAATAAAAACAATGATCTTTTATGGACGATTAAGCCTCAGAGTAATTTTTGTTTCTGGGATATAAGAGGAATTCAGAAACAATGAAGGGCAATTGCTTTTTAAAAAATGTGATGAAAAATTCAGGTAAGGAGGTTTTTGGAAGCATCCTTAGGATTTCCCTACCTCGTTGGGGGCCTGGATGGTGATGTACTGGTCATAGATTTTTCTGGCATTATCCTGGAGTTTGTCACAGCCTTGGAGTTTCCGATAATCTTCACAAGCCACCCAAAAGTCCAGGTTCTCTTCACTGAATTCTGACTCCAAGAAAGAGTGAAAGGCAGAACGGCCATCTAAAGATGAGACAAACAGACCAAATGTTTCTACTGAGCTCATTTTGTTTTGTGGTAAGAACCGTACAAGTTCTGAAATTCCCCATTCCCAAAACCAATATATCTCATATTTGGAATGCTTTGACAAGGAAGAGGGGGAGCACCGTAAGTCACAGAGAGTTTTCTAAGTATTTCTCTACAGCCACGAGGACTAGAAGCATGAAAAGAAAGTGGGAAACACAAGCAAACTAGAATCTCCTCCATGGATTATTTTGAGAAAGAATTTCTGCTAGATTTAATGGTGTTTACTTCCAGGTAAGTGTGCATAGGATTGCTAAATATTCTATATACCTGTTAACTTTTGAAGACTGAACTGTGGATAGAAGTTACATTTCAGCCTGTCAAAAAGCTGAACTGTTGATTCCACTTATGAAGCACCAAGGGGATAGCGCAAGAATAAGATACGGAATGAGTTTGTGCCATCAGGGAAGGAAAGGAAGCCATGGAAGCACCTTTCCTGCTCAGCATGCAAGCTGATTGCACCCTTCCATAGTCCCCTGAGCTGTCCATGGGTTGCAGGCCATCTGAAACCAGCAAAGGGCCCCCTGGGGGGGGCGGCAATGTTCTCGAAACCACCCTGAAAGCCTAGCACAAGCCAGAAGTTGTGGGGTGGTGAGGAAGCTACCACTCTTGCCCACCTCCTCAGGTCTGGACAGTGCGGCCACCCAGGCAAATTGCTGCTCGTTCAGGCAACGAGGCAGCGCACAGCTGACTCACCAACGTTGTGGAAGCCACTGTGGTCACTGTTTCTTTTCCTTCATCAATCATGTGAACCGCACCGCCGACATCTCATCACATGATATAGATCTGTATGCCTGACCTTTTTCCAATCGGGGAACGCATTTTGAATTAGAGAGCATTTGTGTGGGTTTGCACCACTGAAACAAAGGTGGGGAGAAAGGTTCTAGGAAAAGGGAGGGAGGGAGGGAAGAAGGCAGGGGGAAAAAAAGGCAACAGCCACTTACATGGATGAAGTAACAGCTTTTCCAAAGATTCAGCCCATTCCTGGGCCTCCTCAGGAGTTGGCCTGCCGGCAAGAAAGAAGCAGAAGAGGCTGACAATGGCTGTGGGGCTGACAGCTGACCTTCTACTACAGTGTCTCTTACAAGCTGCCCCCCAAAAAGGAGGGTGATTTCAACAGATGTTGTGCTATGGCACAGTCCTCTGGCCTCCCAACATTGCCTGGGTTACCCCAGGATTATTTAGTTCCCACTCTGAGGTCCTGCGACTTTGGCCTTCGCATGCCCTTGTGTTCTGTATGTAAGGTTTATGTGCACAGAGGGTGGAGGAGATTGGATCACACCCTAACTTAATTTATGTGCATAGAAACAATTTAGGCTCAATTACTGCAACTTAAATGGAATTATAATACAGAGTAACATGATGAGGTCATCGCGGTGCTGTTCGGCTGGTTGCCAGAAGCCATCCATGGAAGGCCCCTTTTTGCTGTCTCTTCTCAGGGTTTAAACTGTGCTCGGCCTGCCCAGGTGCTCGAACAGAGGCCTGTCCTCTGTAAAGGCAGGCATGTGGCCGCTCTGCCTTGCACAAAGGCCTCCTCTGCACAGCATGTGGCCTCCCTGGAATGTGAGAATGTTAAACCTTTTCTTCTTAAGAGGTCAGTGGTCCATTTCAATTGCCACACAATTTACAAGGCAAGCCTCTTTCAACATGGCTGGTGCAACCACAACAGGGGCGAGAGGTTGCTTGGGATCTGTGGGAAGATCACTGGGCGATATGCAGATATCTGCAAAGATTTCAAATGTTTATTTTTCTTACTGTTGGCAACAACCATGATTTAATGACTTGATTTACAATCCACCCTTCCTCACAAAGAACCCAGGGAGGTTAATAATCTATAGAAAACACAACACCACAGCAACATTAAACTCATCGCTCTAAAATCACAAAATAAAGAATAAAATACAACAAAGTCATCAACACACTCACTCATGCAAAAACAAATAAAGGCATTTTTTATACCTTCAAAGCTTTTGCCTTTAACTGGTGTTAAATGAATCTTTTAGTAGGACCGAAATGACAGTAGCCTCAGGGATGGCCAAATCTTGATCAGAAGGGAGTCCCACAGCGAGGGTGCCACCACCAAAAAGACTCCAATGCGGCTGCCTCACAGGCCACTTTTCTCAAGGCACCTCAAACAAAACCTCACCAGGTAATCTGAAACCCTGGCCCGGGAAAAGCAATTCTTCATCTGCCTAGTTCCTGAGCCTTGACTCCTTGCACACGGACTCTCCCCTGCTGAAACGGAGAAAGCTGTGGTGGTCTGTGATGTGCATTAGCCAGGAGTGGATTTCGCTGTGGAAGCACAGTGTGGTCCAGTTATGGGACCGTAAACAAGTGCCTGTGCTCAGAACCCACTAATGTGAAGCGCCTGCCCTTTGCATCAGGCTCTGGTCGGTGGATCATGGGCTTCTAGGCAAAGGCACAAGGAAATAACACAAACCTCCCCGAAATGGCAGAAATGCAGCCGCCCCACCTCTCCAAGCAATGGGAAATTTCAGGGGCAGCCTTCCCTACCTGGCCCCCTGCAGAAGTGTTGGGTCGTAATTCCCATCATTCCCAGCCAGCACGTGCTGCGGGTGACTCCTTGGAAGGGGGCTTTCTTTGTTGCGGCACCCTGACTGCAGAATGAGCTTGCTGGGAGGCTTGCCTGGTGCCTCTGCTTTGATCTTTCTCGCACAAGCTGAAGACCTTACCATTTGCCCAGGCATTTTAGTTTTCCAGTTTCTCATTCATTCATTCATTCATTCATTCATTCATTCATTCAATTTCTGTACCACCCAGCAACCAAAGCTCTTTGGGTAAATCACAACAACACATGAACAATAAAAGACATCCTATTAAAACATATTAAAAATCATAAGAAAGCTACAATACAAAAATTACAACCAAATTTAAAACAGGTGTATCTGGGACTGTAAGCTGCTACTGGATTGTGTACATCTTTGCTCTGCTGTTAGGCCTGACTTTGGTTTTCACTGCTATTTTATATCATAGTTGTAACATGCTGTATGTTTAATGCGGTTAATGCTTGTGAACCAAGCACCTCTCAGGCTGTACAGAAATGCAATGATGGTGCCCCGCTGTATGAAATCTGCAGAGACATCTCCCAAGCTGCTGCCCTGCGCCCACCACATGGCTTTTGGCATTTTCCTTTCTACGCTCAGCTACAGAAACAGCATGGACAAGCCTCCTTCCCTGCAACGACAACCATTTGCCTCAAGCCCAGCCCCTGCAGGTCAATCCATCACCTTTTCAGGAGCACATCCGTGCCGAATGTTAAAGGAACATTAACCTCCTTCTCCTGTCAAATCTCAGGGTCAGATCAATCAGTCACGGCACTATCCTCGGTACAATAGCAATAGCGGATCCAAAGCACCCGCCCCCGCCGCCCACAAAGACAGCCTGGCTCCAGACCAGCTCTAAATGGCCTTATAGCTCTTCCTGGAAAAAGAGGGTAAATGGGCTGGTGAACAAGGAAGATTAAAAATTTACAACGCACAATGAGATCCATTGTTAGGTTATTACAAATGTATTTTTCCAACACCAAGCCATGTCTGCCTCCCGCATGCTAGATTTCAAAAGGTTATCATTTTGTGTCATTTCTGTTTGCAGTTCTGGCTGCTTGGGGCAGAACAACCGCTACGGGGTTGCTACTTCGGTGAGGTGACGAGCTCGTTTGGCTGCTTCTTCCCTTCCTCCTCATGCCTGCTGCTGCCTGCCTGCATGGCGGACAGAGGGCCTGGGAGCAAGGGGGCCGCGCCATCCGCTGCTCTTCCTTCGTGCCCCCACGGCTGTCTGGATCACAACAAGACACACAAGAAGGCTGTTATGGTGACGAGGGGAGGGCTCCGGTCACTGGACCCCCTTCTCGGGTTTTGGACCTTGGCAAGGGCATCACCACACCAGCTCCTGACATGCAAATCCTTAGTTATTGCAACACAAAAAGGCAAGATTTGCTTATTAACCTGAAGCTGCTGCTCCACTTCCAGTATGCCTTTATTTACACGAAGAAAGCAATTCCTCCAAACTCTTACGAAGGCAGGAGAATATTTCCTCAGCTTAGACAGGTTTCTATTTTTGTTTGTTTGCTCTCTTGCCTTTGCTTCCAAATACAGTAAACTATAACCTCTTTGTAAAGCCAGTTATTAATGAAGGGATCAAAACACTTCCAAAGAAGTCATCTTCACCACAGGCAAAGAATGCATTCCCTGTGCTGCTCTATGCTCTTCTTTGCCTTGGGACAGGACAGAACACAATGAGTGTCATCCCGCAGCTTGGCCAAAAGATCTCCGAGGGCGTCTCCGCGGCTAAAGTTCCAAACAAAATGTCCCTCAAGTTCTCCCATTTAGTTCCTGCTCTCACTGGTGTCTTAGTCTGACTTGCAAATGTACAGCTTGTCATAATTATTTATCCAGCAGAATATTCTGCTGGACTACTGGAGAAGCTCCAGTTCACATCAGTGGCTGCTGGCAAGTTCTCTTTTCTGTTGATCCCTCATCATTTGGGTGGCCAAACACACTTTGCCAAGAAAAGAAAAGAAAAGAAAAGAAAAGAAAAGAAAAGAAAAGGGGAGGGGAGGGGAGGGGAGGGGAAAGACGTCCATATTATTTCACTCTGCACACACACACAAAGACACACATCTAAAAATAAGACTATGGGTTGGATCCAGGATTGACCTCCTGCATCAGTAAGAGGTCCACTGAAGGAGAGCCTTTCAGCAGAGTTCTGGCATTCCTCCTGCCTGCACACCTCCCCACATCCCACCCAGCAGTTTCCCGCATCTCCGTGTGTAGCATTTTTAGGGGACTGGAAGGGTTGCCATGGAAGGAGTAGGTGAAGAAGCCCAATTCTGCCAGCCCCGTTGAGTCACCTTAAACCTGGATCCAGCCCAGATGTACTGCACTTTATGGGACGATTATGAAAATTTCCCTTCATCTGCCACTCACGATGGAGGCTGGCCTGATCCTGGCTCCATGTCTCCGCCTGCATTTTCTCTCCCACAGGCCAAAGAGGTCCAGGCTGTGGTGGGTCTCCCTCAGAGTCATGCCTAGCTTCTGCCACAGGGCTATTCTGCCTTCACCTCTGAGCCTAGCCAGCACCTTTTCTGGCAGCTTGCATAATTCTGGGTATTTTTCCAGGGTGAGCTCCAGGTGCCTCTACTCCCACACCACCGTTATCATGAGGCTCTAAAACACAAGACAATCCTTCACGATGCAGATCTGTACTGAAGCCTCCCAGTGCAACTCTAAATTGCTTTCTATCAAACTGAAAGGATAAGCCTCTGCTCCTGAAAAGAGAGCAGAACCCAAACTGGAAACTTCTTCTCAGCCCCTCTCTGTCAGCAACACTGCTGGTCCCACCCTCAGGGGGGCTGCCACCGGTGGATCACACGATCTACAGAGGCCTTCTCATGGGGCAGCTCATCTCCCGGACTGAGAACTGGGTCCCTCTCCTCTCTAAAGCCCTCCCATCTCCTGCCAAACAGGCCTGCTCTTGGGGTTGGCCAGGGGAACTCCAGGAGGCAACCCTGAAGGGCCCCCAGCTGTTTCTGTCCCTGCTTGCTCCTCCAGTTGGGGAGCGGGTGACGCTCCTTCTTGGGTAGTCTGCCAAGAGCGAGTGCTTGGGGTCCCCACACGATGGCCCTTCCGCCAAACGTACGTACGAGCCATCCTGCCCAGCCAGTTCACATCCCTCTTTGCCCAGCCTGCAAAAGGACCCTTCACAGTCATGGGAAGCACATGAGCATTCCTATGGTTTATTTGTTCAAGGATAGGCTGGACATGTACATGGTGGGCATGTCATGAGTGGAGCTGGGTAGAACCTGGGGTCAGACTAGATGGCCCAGGAGACCCCTTCTGACTTTCTCTGTTTCTATGGTAAAATGGCAGGTTTTAATCAGTTCACTGCTCTAAGCAAAACACCATAGAAAACCCCAACCCATTTGCAGTAATCAGACAGCAAACCCATCACACAAATACACACACAGTTATTCTTATTAGAACAAGTCTTAGAGCGAAATTACCTTAGAGAGTGCATGTCCTGATTTCCTGAGCTCCATAGCCTTAGGAAGTTTCTTTTATACCTCTTGCTTTAAAATAATAGAGAGATATCCTTTTTTAAAAAAATCAGATGTAAGGAAGTAGGTGAGGCCAACTGTATACAAACTTGCATATGAAAACCTAAAATCTGCAAGCAAGTCATGGGGGTGGACGTGAGCTGGAGCTGAGAAAGCCATTCCCCACTTCTCTGCTGCTTACCCAATCGTACGGAGAAGTGTGATAATCCTGCAGCATTTAAACAGCGCACACATTCTCTCGGCCACGTCTACAGTGACCCTGTAAGGCAGGGGTGTCCAACCTTTTCGCTTTTCTGGGCCACATTGGAAGAAAAAAAAATGTCTTGGGCCGCACATTAAATGCACAAACACTAACCAAAGCTGATAAGCAACCAAAAAAAAAGTCTGTGCATAATTTTAACGATATCTTCCACCACAGATAAGCAAAAAAGTCCTCCCATAATTCTAATTATTGCTTGGAAGATAACACACTGGAAGCCGCACACAGCTGTAAAACTGCAGCCATGCATGTGTACACATAGTGAGAGCATAGGTACGTTTATTTTACGTGACACTGCAACACGACATTGTCGTCTACAAAGTACACACTGGAGAACCGCGCGATCGAGTTGCAAAAGTTTTGCAAAACATCTCACAGTGTTTTAAGAAAGTGTACGATTTTGTGCTGGGCCGCACTCATCGCCATCCTGGCTGCATCCTGCACGGTGCCCCAGGCTGTGGACTGGACACCCCTGCTGCAAGGCATGCGATGCCTGCTCCAGGTATGGGAGAGCTCCTGGGCAAGACGCCCTCACTGGGCCGTTCCTCAGCCTCCCGTCTCACCACACCGTCACCCGCCGCTGCGCCTCCCCCTCCCCTCGCTTCCTTGCCGTGGCAGTGGCAGGTGGCGGCAGCAGCTATTGCTTCTTCTTCACACCAGCCCTCCTGGGGAGGCCACAGCATCAAGCAGAGCTGCAGTCGTTCAAAGGAAGAGCAGCTCCAGGGAACGTCTGTCTCTGAGCCTACGGTGGGATGGGCCCTTGGCAGGCCCCAACCCTGGGTGCTGGCCCTGAAGCCGGGCTGGGATTAATGGTTTCCATACCACGAAGGGCAGTGGGGGGGTGCTAAAGAGAGCAATGTGCCCGCAACTACTTGGCAAACCCCCATGTACGAAAAGTCCATATGGGCATTTAGCAATTATGGCTTTGCACCCAGCTGCCGAACTCCACTCACCGGCGGTGCTTTTGCCTCTGTCGTGTCTGTTGGCTGCTGTCACATTCTGATCCCAAGTCGGACTCCACACTTGATGCCAGAGACTGAAAGACAGAAACAAGACTCTGAGCTCTGCAATCCCCCTCTCTTCTCCTAACTGGCCCAGGAGTCCGAGATCCTGCCAGGGCTGTTCCCACAGGGCAAGGAATCCAGACGCCCACGGCATTCATCTGAATTTAGGGCCACATGTAAAAACAGGCATTTAGCGCATGTCCAGGGACTGAAAGTCTTGGAAGAGAAAAATGCACCCTTTGTAATGATTGCACAGGGTAATCTCTCCTCCGTAATAACCACACAAATAGCTGCTTTTGTTAATAAACAACAATGCATAGGCAGGGACAACCTGCAGGCTTGTGCGAGCTGCTTTTCTTTATAACCAGGCCTCCATCAAGCCAGAACTTTGCCTAGGAGCAAACATCGTGATGAGCCTGAGGCTGTTACACTTCGCACACATCATGAGACGGCAAGATCCCCTGGGAACGTTGAAGGCAAAGAAAAGGAAAAGAGACTAGGACATGGACTGTTTCCATAAAGGAAGTTGCAGCCTTGCTTTTAGAATTGCTGAGCAGGACTGTCGGGGGGGGGGGGGCGTCATTCATAGGGTCACCCTAAGTCGGAGACAACTTGATGGCACATAGCAAGAAGACCAGAGTCCTGTGGGCCACCAACTGGAGTGGGAGGTGGTAAAGCAGATGAAAAATGGAATGAATTATCTACTGTGCTCTTGGGGTCCTGCAGCAACTGGAGGGGGCCCTTGTCATTTGGCCCCTGCTCAGGTGTGGGTTCTCACCGGGTTCCTAGCTGTGCTTACCCTCGGCACCGGCCTTGGGTATCCTTTCTGGAATCTGCTCTTTGAAGCAGGCTTGGCCTTCCCCTGGGCAGGTGAGGCAGCTCTCCTTAAAGAGCAGTTTGAGGAGGATACCGTGAAATGGCCACAATTCCCAGGTGTGGCTGTACAGCTGTGGGGAGACTGAGCTTGGACTTTGTACCTCAGGCAGCAACAGTGGCAAAGCATAACAACTGCTTTGCATGGTTTCATGGCAGGACTGGCTGGAAGGGCTCGTACCTCAAATGGCACCACGTATGAAGTAACTGGTGGAAACCAACCAGGACAGAGCGCCATGGAGTTCTAGAGGAAGAGCGGCTCTTCTAAGCACACTGTGCTCCTGTTCTGCCGACTCTGCCTTTTGTCTAGGAGCCAGAAGCCCAAGGCTACGTGTCCCGCAAGTTTTTTTCATTCCGTGAGCAGACCAGAAAGGCGGCATGTCCTTCACTGAGCAGGGATGGCCAGAATGTAGATCAGCAGGTGGTTCATAGTCCCTGCATTGCTGATCACTGGCCATGCCAGCAGAGGTTTCTTATAGCTGAAGTCTGGAACATCTAAACTCTGCTGTCCATTGACACAGAGAACCCAAGGTTCCTTCGAATTATCTGAAAAAGAGGGATTTCTCCCCCGCTCCAGTGAGCAGCCCTGTCCTCTATAGTTGGAATCATGGAAGGTACTGAAGAAATCAAGCCTATGATGTGACACACTCGCTCTTGGATGCACACCTTAACATGGTGACAGGGGTTGAAAGTGTCCAAGATGCCAAGAGCAATGCTGCCATGAGACCTCTCTCTCTCACTAGGCTGGTCTCCTAGCCAGGCCACCCAAGGCAGAACGGCTGACGTGGAGAGACCAGACCAAGAGGCATCCTTCCTCCTCCGCAGGAATGGTCCCATCAGCAGAAGTGAATGGACATCTCTAGTGGTGATGGGGCAGAGAAACTCCCGAAGGGCAGCTCCTGGGCAACTGTGATGGTTCAAGGTGTTACTGGCAGAGGATCTTTCCCAGACAAGGGCAGCAATGTCGACGCTAATGCTAGCCAGTGTTAGGCGGAAGAAGGCCATGGTGCACCACATTTGAATATTTCTTACCTCGAAAACCCTATGATAAAGCCATTCACAACGAAACAAGGAAGGCCCTCAACCAGCTGCTAGGGAAGAGCAAAGGACAAGCATGAAGAGCGCTGCCACTAATGGCACAAGTTAGAGCAAAGGTGAAAGGAAATCCAGTGGCTGACATGCAAAGCAAGAAAAGGAATGTCTGATGCTGCATAACATGTACAATGGGAGCACGGAACGTGAGAAATATGAAACAAGGCAAACTGGAAGCCATAAAGCACGAAATGGAACAACTAAGCACTGCAGTGCTTAGAGTGAGCAAACTAAAGTAGACTCAAATGGGAGATTTTCAGTTAGACGAACTGCAAATGTTTCAATCGGGCAAACACAAAGTGTTTTAGGCAGGAAATGAGAAACTCAGAAGAAATGGAATGGCTCTAATATTGAGGCAAGATGTAGCACAGGCAGTAAGGGTCTATCAGGCAAAGTCTGACTGAAACTTATCTATCCGAATTCTTGGAAAATCTATCCACATAACCTTCATTCAAGTCTATGCTCCAACAATAGATTCTGAAGAAGAAATCAATATTTGGATGCAAGTGTCCAAGAAGAAATTGATAACACACCAAAACAAGACATGCTAATAATCATAGGTGATTGGAACACAAAAGTAGGAAAGAAAGCAGAATCCAATGCTGTGGAAGAATTTGGCCTGGGATAAGAGACAAACCAGGAGAATGACTCACAGAACTCCATGAGTCAAGAATTCCATGAAGTCAAGAATCTGTTTATCACACAAACTTACTTCAAGCAAGCAATTAGACAAGTGTACACATGGGCATCACCAGCTGACCAAGAAAATCAGACTGGATAATTGGAACTATAGGATGGAGAAGTGTATTCTCCCTGCTAAAACAAGATCAGGAGCAGATTGTGGTAGCGACCATCAAATAATAATATAAAAAATCAGAGTAAAGCTGAAAGAGATCACTAACAGAAGTACAGTTCCAAAATGCATTTAAATAACATTCCTGAGAAATTTAAAGTCCACATGAAGAACAGATGTGTATTACTGAACTCATTTGTCCATGGACCAGAAGAATTGTGGACTGAAACCAGAGACATTATTGGGGGTGAATGCCAAAAGACAATTCCTGTAGCAACAGGACAGAAAAAAGCCTAGAGGGATGACAGAAGAAACTCTCACAACTGCTAGGATAAAAAGCAAATAGTGAGAGAAATAGTCAGAATTCTGAATGCAAGTTTTCCCCAACTATGATGAAAAGTCAAAAAGAACTATTACAATGGCAGGTGCAAAAAAAATAAAAGAGAGATGCAAAAGAGGAAAAACAAAAGACCTCCTGTAGAAGAGACAAGATCTCAAAGGGAAATTCAAACCTAGATTAGGAATGCTGAAAAATCAAGAATGGAACATATTATCTGACCAGGGAAAAATAAAAAGAAGGTGGAGACAATATCTGGAACAACTGTATAGAAGGGATAATAAGAAAACAGACTCCTTCAAAGAGGAACTGTATGAGAAAGACCCTACAATACTCGAAAGTAAAGTGGAAGTTGCTCTGAAAACACTTGGAAGGGATAAAGCATCTGAAGTAGGGAGGGTACCAATGGAGCTATTCTAAGCCATGGTTTATATAAGGCAGACTTTGTAATCCAACAACAAACCAGAGGTTCTGTGATTTGTACCTTGTTAACAAACCATGGTTTGTTTGAAGGAGGGGTGCATACACAACAAGCCAGGTTTTAACAAATTGCCCCATGGTTTATAGTATTACAATCAACTAGGTAGGCATAGGGATTGGGGGTGGGGTGGGAGAGGCAGGTGATGAATTTGTTTGATCTGCATTTTCATACGAAGTGCTCTTATTCACACTTTCCAAAGTAATAGGCAAGCCAGAAATTAATTATTCTTTGTCTTTTTCATTTTTCCAAATTGTGCAATTCAATTATCAGCTAAAATGCATACTTTGAGGAAATTAATGTAAAAAAGATATATATTAGGGGCAAAAATATGGCTATAAGAGGAAATTATGTAGGAAAACATGTACATGTTTTAAAATAAAAATCTGCAAGCTTGATGCAAAAATGAGATGGGACAAATCCGTTCTCGAGAACAGCATAAGCCTTATATAAAGCAGAAGGGACACCATCCAACCATCTCCACGACTAAACACACATCTATCCTCAGAGAAAGTAGCTTCCTAAATCCTCTAGTAGTCTCTGCTTCCACTGCAGGGAACCCAGGAGTCCTGGCTCCCAGGCCCTCTGCCATAACCCTTCCTTGATAATTAATTATCAGCTTTCTATTTAGCCTTGGGATACATTTTTCATTACAGGAAATTCCAAAGATTAAAACCATTGGGAACAAAGACACTAAAATATTTATATAAGCAAGCTATTAAAAAATATCATCTGGGCTCGCATTTCTCATGGAAGCGGGTGGGAGAATGGAGAGAAGAAGGAAATCAGTCGCAAAGGGCTGGAGATACAGGATTAGGGTGAGGAGACGCTGGGATATCCACTGACTTTACTGGAGCCTCCAAAGATATTCCGCAAGTGCTGCTTGGCGGCGGCGACCCTCCCTCTCAGGCGGCGCTCCTTCCGCAAAGACTTGGGGGACGGCAAACTCCACCCACTTCCTGTTTTGTCCACCACCTCTGTTTCTTCCTGGCACGGTGCCCCTTTTTGGTCCAAACGCCCCTCGCTGTGGCATCGCCACACCCCTCCAGGGTCCTGTAGTGGGGGCTGCGAGCAGCTGGTCGCTTCCGGAACCTCTAAGTGGATGCTTGGGGGACAGAGCTTCTCCGGGTTCTGCTCCTTGTGGTCATGGATAGGCCGTGACTCCTCGCAGCTCTGCTGGCGTTTCCGGAGGTTGCTGCGGTGCCAGGGCAGGAAGTCACAGTCCAGGAGGCAGCCTTCGGAGCCACATTTCTGGAGGGGGCTCAGCATCTGCGGGGGAAAAAGGAAAGTTTAGGGACCTGCAACCTGGCTGAAATCAAATTGGGTTGAATGTGGGGTACTCACCCACTGACTGTTTAGCAAGGAGCCAGAGGGGAGATCAGAAGAAACTGGGACCCAGGCAAACCGGAATTGTTTATGGTGGTTCCCCAGATGTTTTGGCTCAATACTCCCATTAGGCCTAACTGGCATGACCAGTGATGAGGGATGATGGGATCCATCAGCAAAAACATCTGGAAAGCCTTAGTGCACAAAGTGATTTTTTTTTTCTGGGGATGGATATTCTGCGTGGTTGAGCTTCCTTTAAGGTATGAAAGGCATAAGATAAGGGTCTGTTGCCACTATTGACTGGGCTGCCTGGATCCCCAAAAGTATCTGGATTTGGTCAAGACAGAAATGAGAATGGGACAGAAGTGACAGGGGTGTCAGAATGGGTGAGACAGAGACCTAAGTGGATGGAGCTGGGGGAACACTTTGAGATGGCGACTGGTTCAGAAAAATGAGAGGAAATGGGAGAAAGAAAGGAAAATAAAAACTGGACAGAAAGAGGAAGTGCTTATACAGTTTTCCCCAAACTGGACCTTTTAGAGGAGTCTGTCTATGTTGCCCATAATGTTTTCAGACCTGTTTCTGAGAAATCTGCAGACTACGGCGTTGTAAAAACTACATTCATTCATTTATTTATTGCATGGCATATTGGAGCATTACCAAAACAAAACAAAACAAAACAGGACCTTGTCCCAGACTTACAATTTGTAGTGGAAAGAGAACAGAAGGCCAGCAGAGGCGTGAAGGTGAAACAAACAAACAAACAGAGGCAGAAAAAAAAGTTGTAATTTCACATGTTTTGAACTTCTGTTCCAAACATATTTGACCAGTTGACTGCGCTGGCATATTTATTTATTTTTATACCACCTCAAATATAAAAAGACCGCCAAAGCTCTCTGGGCAGTTAACGAAAGTTAAAAAAACCAAGACAGACATAAAGCAACGAGACCACAGCAGTTGCAACCAAATCAGCACAGAGGTATAGCAATGGCACAGGATAAAATGCAATATTAAAAACTGAAGTTTAAAAGTGAACTATTTGAATATTGGGCAAACAAAAAAGTTTTCAACTGGCACCAAAAATAGAGAGTAGGTCCCAGGCACACCTCTTTGGGGAACTCATTCCAGAGCTGGGGTGCCACAACTAAAAAGGCCCTTCTTCTGGGAGCCACCTTCCTTGCTTCCTTTGGAGGAGGCTCCCAGAGACAGATGCCTGAAGAGGACCTTAGGGGCAGGGTAGGTACATATGGGGCAACGCATTCCTTCAGATGACCTGGCCACTGGCTGTCAGGGTCTAGTACTAGCACTTTGAATTGGGCCTGGACTTCAACAGGCAGCTAATGGAGTTGGAAGAGGACTGGTATAATGTGTTTTTGTGGGCCCATTAACAATCTAGCTGCCCTGTTCTGGATCAGCTGTAGTCTCTGGGGCATTTTCAAAGGCAGCCCCACATTCAGCGCATTGCTGAAGTCCAAGCAAGGAGTTATCAGAACATGGATTACTGTAGCTAGGCTCTCCCTGCCCAGACAGAGTCATATACAAATTTCTGTCTTTCTGTCTTATTTATTTTAAAGCTTTTGTAGACCGTCCATCTACTGGCATCTCGGGACAGTTTACAACAAGCAACAGATAAAAATGGCACAGCATCTAGTCATTCAATAATATAAAACCATATTAAAATGATTAAACATTAAAATAACGGGAAAATAAAAAGGTTTCGCCTGGCAATGAAGAGAAAAAAGCGTTGGCACCAGGCGAACCTCTCTGGGGAGCATATTCCATAATTGGGGTGCCACCACAGAGAAGGCCCTCTTCCGGGTAACCACCCTCCTAATTTCTTTCAAGGAGGGCTCCTGAAGAAGGACCTCCACCTCAGATCTCAAGGGGTGGGGTGGGGGGAATATAGGGAAGCAGGCGTGCCTTCAGGTATCCAGGACCCAAGCCATTTAGGGCTTTATAGCTCATCACCAGCACCTTAAATTGGGCCCGAACTTCAACTGGCAGCCAGTGTAATTGGCAAAGGAATGGGGTTATATGTGAATACCTGCTGGTCTTTGTTAATATCATGGCAGCTTTATCCTGAGCCAACTGAAGTATCTGGACCATCTTCAAGGGCAGCACCATGTAGAGCGCATTACAATAATCCAGTCGGGAAGTTACCAGAGCATAGGTCACTGTTGCTAGTCACTGCTCATCCAGGTAAGGGTGCAGGTGATAGTTCAGCCACAGATGGAGGAAAGCGCTCCTTGCCACTGCTGCCACTTGAGACTCCAGGGACAGCTCTGGGTTGAGAAGCACTCCCAGACTGTGCACTCTGTCCTTTAGGGGGAGTGCAACCCTGTGCAGAACTGGGCTGATATCACTCACCTGGAAGGCTGAACCACCCACCAATAAGACCTCTGTCTTGTCTGGATTAAGCCTCAATTTATTGACCCTCATTCAGCCCTTTACCTCGGCCAGGCACAGGTTAAGGACAGCCACTGCCTCACCTGGACTAGATGTAAGAGAGAGGTAGAGCTGGCTGTGATCAGCCTACTGATGACTCTGCAGCCCAAACACCCGGGTGACCTCTCGCAGCGGTTTCATGTAGATGTTGAAGAGCATGGGGGATAAAATGGACCCCTGTGGAACTCCATGGTAAGGTTGCCATGGCACAGAGCCACAATCCCCCAGCTGAAGCAGTGCCTCCAACTCTCAACCCGGCCAGCCTATCCAGAAGGATACCATGTTCGATGGTATCAAAAGCCACTGAAAGGTCCAGGAGAACCAACAGGGACACACTCCCCTTGTCCCTCTCCCTGCACAGGTCATCATACAGGGTGACCAAGGCAGTTTCAGTTCCACAGCCAGGCCTGAAGCCAGACTGAAATGGGTCTAGATGGTCTGTTTCCTCTAAGAGTGCCTGGAGTTGTCAAGCACCTTGCCCAAAAATGGGATATTAGCCACCGGCCTATAGTTGGCCTATTTATTTATTTAAAACTTTTGTACCCCATCCTATACATAAAAGTCTCAGGACAGTCCAACAACAAGGCACAACACAGTATCCATAATAAAAACCTGACTAATTTTTTTTTAAAAACACCTTAAAATAATGCGAAAGTAAAAAAGGTTTTGGCCTGGCACCAAAAAGAATAAATAATAATTGATATATCAGCTTAAGCTGATACATGGTGCTCTATGCCACTGAGTCCACTTCTGTCAAGTGACAGTTCTGTATCTAGGAACACCCCCAAACTATGAACCCTGTCCTTTTGGGGGAGAGCAACCCCATCCAAAACAGGCTGAATACTGCACAGATGGACAAATGACCCACCCACTGACAGCACCTCTGTTTTGTCTGGATTAAGTCCCAGCTTGTTGGCCCTCATCCAGTCCATTACAGATTCAGAACACCTGGGTTTGATAAAAAGAGAGCTAGAGCTGAGTGTTATCTGCATATTGATGACACCTCAGCCCGTATCTCTGGATAATCCCCCCCAGCCATTTCATGTAGATGTTAAATAGCACAGGGGATAAAATGCAGCCCTGTAATACCCATGGAACAACTGCCATGCAATAATCTTCTAGCACCAGCATATGGGAAATAAGGTCCAAAACACCGGAAGATCTACCTTCTGCATATCCTGGAATTATGTTGTGTTGGCTGGTGACAGAACCTGATAAAATGTTGTGGAAATACTCCAGGGGAGGGAGAAAGGGGAAATGCTTTAATGGTGATAGTTTTCTAAAATCAAATGTACCATCTATTTGGTATGCTCAGGTGTAAGTGCCTTTGCTTACAAAGCCAAAACATTACCATCCATGTGCCAGAGGGAGATATCAATGAGTCTGGGGATTTGCAGCAATGCACAAGAAGTCTTTAGGAGCTTAGTAAAAAATATTAAGGGTGGGGACACTTAAAAACAGCCCACTGAAGACTGAGCATGCTCAGCAGCCACAGAATACTGACTTTTTTTTTTTGAAAGTGGAGGGGGGAATGCCAATAGCTTGGAAAGGGGCATGGAAGGCTGCAAAGCTGAACATTTTTGTAGGCCCTGTTTGTTCCTTCCTAAACCCAAATGTGCATGGACGAGGGAGGGAGAAGTTAATGACACTCTGGGCACCCTCAGGGGCACTCTTGTCTTTACATGTCTGTCTGGCTCTGGGGCTATGCCCTGAGTCCATCTAAGCTAAGACTATCGGAGCTGATCAAACTACCCACCCAGTCCCTGAGGCCTCCCTCCTCTGGTCCAGACAATGGCTCATGGTTCTCCTGGCCTGAAGCATTTGCCATCATGCTGGGAATCTGTCCAAGGCAACAAATATGTGACAGAAACTCATTAAAAAGTGATCTGGCAAATCTTGGCATCAAACACAGAAAGGCATGTTGAGAGGAATTATATCCTTCACCCACTCACCAATTATTTGAACAACTTCCTTGTCTCTAAAGCTTTTCCAGAAAACTGAGTGAGAGGAAGGCAAGTGACCAAGCCTGAGAGGCAGGCTGGGGCAGGGGGTGCTGCTGTCAACAGCAGGCATGGCTGGGCCCTCACTGAAGAAGGCCTCCCCCTTCCTCTCCTTTGCGGCACCCTGTGTGCTTGCCCAGGCCTGGGGACGCTGGCAGTGAGGAAGGGGAGTGTGACGTTCTACAGCCTCCTTGCTCCTGGGCTGTCTCTCCGCCAAGCGAGCAAGTAGCACCAAAGACGAGAATGGGGATAGAGAGCAAAAGCAGCTGGTGTCCGTGGGGCTGAGAAGAATCAACCTAAAACCAGCACCCCTGCTAGTCTTTATCCAGTCTGGGTTCAGGCCCAGTTCTGGACTTGAAACACCATTGTTTGCTCACATGGATGACCTGGGCCAGGTTCTTAGGCCTTAAAAGACAGCCAGACCTTCTTTGTGTAGGGTGTAGAGCTAGTCTGACATTTTTTAGAAGACATTTTTGGGGATAATTCAATGCCTGCAGG